CAAAATCTTATTTCCATTTCTTAGTAGGAATAAATCATTTAATAAATACTCAGTTAAGTGTAGAACTTAACTGAGCAGGATATTACAACCTAAGTGAGAAGATGATCCCTGCACGAAACTGTACACAATTAGAGTCCAAAGGCTACCCATGCTAAGAGGTAAGGGAATTCAGATTGGAATAACATAGAGTTGTCTGAAAAGATATTATAGAGGAGATGGGAATGGAACCAGGCCATGGAGAATGGGTAAGAAGTAGAAAGGCCCAGAAAGAGAAAGAAGAGCTTTGGATAAAGGCTGGAGAAGTGGGGGAATTTATGTTAGAGAGACGGGGCTGGCTGCTTAGCTCAGGTGGTTAGAATGTGGCCTTGTAACACCAAGGTCAAGGGTCCGATTCCCCATACAGGCTAGCCACCAAAAAAAAAAAAAACCAAAAAAACCAAAAACACACACACACACACACACACACACACACACACACATACACACACACACATATATATATATATGTTGGAGAGAGGAAAGAAAGATGGTTGAATGGGCAAGAAATATGAAGGGCACTGAATATCAAGTTAAAGAATTTGAATTTTATGCTGAGCGGCTACTTTGCCTTTGGAGATCTGAGTGAAATGATAACTTAATAAAACCAATATTTTAGAAAGATTGGACTAAGATAGAAGGGAACTGTGCTACAAATTATAACAACAGTAAGGCTAGCAGTTTTACCTTTCTGAAGTCACAGATATCTTTGAGGATGTAATGAAAGCTATTGGCCCTCTGCCTAGAAACACATATATACAAAATTGTGCCAAGTACAGAGACTCTTTGAAATCCTTTCAAAGGAATCAATGAACCCAAGTTAAGAACGCTTAAATTAAACTTTTTTAGTAGCAGACCAGAATTAAAAGCCTAGATCAGTATCCTAGATAGTGAAAATATAAAGAAAGCAAGGCTTTGAGAAATATACTTGTTTGAGATTTGATATGAAGTATAAGGTGAAAAAGTTGAAGGTGGATTATTTGTTCCCAATTTCTTCAATACATCTGTAGCACAGACTGCTATCACTCCCAATGTCCACCCTCCCTTCTCCCCGTAGGAATAGACAGTTGAGTATATGGCCACCCAGAATAAAGATTTCCCAGCCTTCCATGCAGCCAGTGTGGCCATGCGACTAAGTGCTGGCCATTGGAAGGTAGCAGAGCGATGTATGCAACTTCTGGCTCATACCCTTAAAGGGAAGGAACGTGCTCTTCCCTTCCCCATTCCCTCCTTCCTGCTGGCCAGTATGTGGGTATAGCAGTGAGCCATCCTGGACCATCGTTGAGTGCAACACCCACAGGATGGTGAAGGAACAATACAGAAGGAGCTTGAACCCTATGACTTTGCAGAGCAAAGCAGTCATACCAGCTCAGACTTTTACTTATCTTATTTGAGCCATTGTTATTCCAGGTCTCTGTCACAGCACCTGAACTCATCCCATCTAATACAGAATTTGGTACTAGAGGTGGCTTGCTGTCATAACAGAACCTAAAATACACAGAATGCTGGCTTAGCAATCAGGCAGGGGGTGCCAAGGACACAGATATTACAGACTAGAAAGCAGATGGGCAGTGTTATGCTACAGGACAAAACATTTGGTAAAACTGTCCACTTGCTATACCCCAAAAGGCAGACTACATGCCCTGGAGCCTGTAACTCAGTAGTGTGTGTTCACTGTTTCTTGTCACTTGCAGAAAAGCCCTAGGAGAAAGATGAGGTCTAGCTGGACCTTATCTAATAAGCAAGCAGAGCTGGAGGGAAATTCAGCTCTGCTAGCAGGAGATCCTCTTTGTCTGTGGAGAGCTGGCGAGGTTGAAAAAGTAGAAGCAGTTAGAAGGGGTGGTTCTGAAGAGGCTATGTAGACTCAACCTTTTTTAAAGTACCATCTAGTAGAATTCTGTTAGACAATGGGAGCCAGCTTAGCTTTCACGATCAGATAATGGGTGTTACCTTCCCATTCACACATGACATATAGTCTCAAGGTAAACTCCATTAAATTGAGAGAGCCAAATGGGTAGGACACAGAAGCAGAAAATAAAAGACCAGAGGCTTAAAAACTCTGTCTAAATGAGACCTTTGCCTGCAGCAATCTGCTCATGAAATAACCAGAAACAAGAAGACTGTAGACCTATGAATTTTATAAGAAAACTGTACTGCCAACGAAATCCAACTCTGTCCAGGAAAAAAACCTGTAACTGATGACCCCCTAAAGTAACTTCAAGCTCTTAACCCTATCAAAATGAAGCAGGCAGAGCTGGTTGGATAGCTCAGTTGATAAAAGCATGGTGCTGATAACAGCAAGGTCAAGGGTTCGGATCCCCACTCTAGCCAGCCATCCCCCAAAGGGGGAAAAGAAAAAATGAAGCGAACTGTGGAAGGTGTGCAGCCCCAAAGCAGGGTATACTTTCCTGTGCCCACTTCAGGTACAGCCACAGAAGATAACAGATTAGGAAGAACCCATAAGGCAAAGCCAGGGGAATGAGCAGAGGGTAGAGATGGTGAACCGAATAAACCAGTGCACTTCCTACAGAGCCACATCAAAGAGATTTTATCATTCCTCCCCAACAGGATTTGAGAACTGGTTTGAATCAGTGACTGCAGTTTCTTTCCAGATGAGGCTTGTATATATACATATATATATATTTTTTGGTTGATGGCCAGTATGGGATCCGAACCCTTGACTTTGGTCTTATCAACAGCATGCTCTAACCAAGTGAGCAAACCAGCCAGCCCTCATATGCTGAATGTGTATATGTGGGTCGGATGGTAGTTCATAAAATTCCAGACCATGAGGAGCCACAGCCAGACCTGATGGAGAGGACCGCATGTTCTTCAGAGATGATGGACTTTGAGCTGGATTCAGGAATTGAATGGAAGAGAGAGGAGGTGAATATATTCTACGTATGGGAAAAAAAGCTTAGGGTATTTAAGTGGCCAAAGGGGTGGAGTGTGGTAGACATTAGTAGTTGTTTTCCAACACTTATTTTCTCTTCTCTCACAAAATAATTATTAGCTGATACATGGCCACCCTGAGTAAAGACTACGCTTTCCAGTTTTCTTGCAGATATGTGTAGACATGTGACCAAGTTCTGGCCAATAGGATGCTATTGGAAGTGACAGACAAGGGTACTTCAAAAAGTTCATGAAAAAACAAAATTAAAAGATAATACGATGCTGATAATGCCAAGGTCCAGGGTTCGATCCCTGGACTGGTTAGCAAAAAAAAAAAACAACCAAAAACGAATCTTTCCATGAACTTCTGAAGACCCTTCATATGCAACTCTCCTTTCCATTCTCCCACACAGCCTAGTAAGAAATAACTACCTACTAGGACTTATTACACAATAATTTTCTGAAACAAAGAATAAAAAAGTCACAGATCCACATGCAATGGTAATTTGGAAGAAAGTTACAAAATGGCCCACTTCCTTTAAAATTTTATTTAAAGTGTTTTTAAAAAATAGGGAAAATGAAAATAAAGTTATTATCCTTAGCAACAACATTCCTTAAGCCAGATCCTATAACTGTGTCACAAATAATTAAATATTTGTTTCCCATATTGATTTTACTCTTCGCTCCCTGTACCACACAAGATCATACCCCTGGCCTGCATTTCTAACTCAGTAGTGAACTTTCAGATTTCGCCAAGCACCTCATAGTGCAGTGACTTCACTATGAGCGAGAGGGTAAGACACAGTTTGGTGATGAGGGAAGAGGGAGGGTGTTACATATAAAATCAACGCCAGAGATATTTTTCAAACCACACCAGCCCAAAGCTCCCAAGGTAATTCTGATAGTTTTCCAGTTGAGAACCACTGGCCCAGGTTGTTCCAAGGCAAGGCTTCATTCTCAGCTGCCAGGCTACTAACAAGGAATCAAATAGAGACCCCCCACTGAGGGAAAAATCTCAAAGGAGATCACAATAGTTGTGCACTGAGCACACACAAACATGATCACAAATGAAGAAGGGATTGTCAAACTTGTCCTACACACACACCACTTATAACAGTGTTTGGTCAATGGTGGCCATGAACCTTCTGCTAGAGAATCACCTAAGGTGACTGATAAAAATACATATTCCTGAACCTCATCTCAGATCACCCATTGGAATCTGAGTGGAGAGGAAAGGAGTGAGGTCTGGGAACTGCCATTTTAAACATTTAAACCACTTTGAATGCACATCTAAGAATGAGAACAACTGACACAAAATTCTAGACACTCAGTTTTCAAAGTGAAGTAAAATACCTATAGTCTCACTTTCTAGTGATTAACAATCTAGTCGGCCGATATACCTTCCCTAAAGAAACCCACTGATTTCAAGAGAGAGAAATAAGGTTTATTCTAAATATCCCCTGAGGTGAAGAGCAAAATATTGAGGTTCCAGTGTGTGATGTAAGATTCAAAGGTCAGGTGCCTAGATGGTGAAGGGGGTTTTATCATTAAAAATAATTGGATCAAAGGCGCCAAATGATTTTCCTCTAATAATCAATCTGTATTCCTCTTCTACTCTGAGGATGAATAAAGAGACACTAACTCTAGAGCATAAACCAAGTACTCAGAATTAGTCTCTCGCACATGAGAGTGCAACGGAGTCCGAAAACTGATATTTGTGTCTGCTAACCAGCAACATGGCTCAGCAAAGACTTTCAAACTCAGATTAGAGCAAGAGGTTAGCTAGGTCGAGGAGTCAAATAGATAAATACCACACTGTCGTCCAAGACCTCGAACTGACCGCCCTCTTCTCCAAGCAGCGCAGTCTTGGATCCCACACCTGCTCGCTCGAGGGCCTCGGGGTCGGCCCTGGAAATGGATCCCTGGGTGAACTCCAGGAGCCGGGAGAGCTTTGCTCATAGCGCCGCCTCCGCAAAAAGCCAAGTTCCCACACGTTTACAACCAGGGAAAAACAAGGCCTCCCGAGCCAGGTCCCAACTAGGAAGACGGGGAGGTCACACGAGCGTGCAACCCATGCTGACACCCGGACCTCAAGGATCCCCAACTTCAGAGGCCGGACGGGGAGTGACCCCGACACTGACAACACCCACGTCCCCCTCCGTCTGCCCCCTCACCTCCCCTTTCTCCCAACCGGCCGGGGCCGGTGCCCTGACGCCCGACACCCCCACCACAGAACAAGACAGGCTGGGGGCCTCTGCGTCCCCAGGCCCCACCCCCACCTCCCGGGCCCCGTCTCCGACCTGGGGGGGGCGCCAGGCAGCCCCGGGGCTCCGGGCTCTCGGGCTTCCTCGGCCGGTAGCCGTAGACGCCCCGCTCGGTCTGGTAGTAGCGCCGGAGGAGGAGCGGGGGGACCCGTCCGAGGCCCCGTCTTGCTGCTGCCACAGTGGCCGAGGCCATGCCCAGCCTGGCCCCCAGGTGCGGAGACAACAGCGGGAGGACGAGGGGCAGCAGCCGCCCGGAAGAGAGAGGGTCTCCAGGGCAGAAGTCCCTGGAACGCGCCACGTGGGAGGCCGGGCCCCGCCCCGGGACAACGCCCCCGCGCTTGATTGGCCGACGGACCGGCCCCACAGAGCCAATCCGGGCAGCGGCTCACGCGGCGGAGCCACGCCCCGGATCGGGGCGGTCCTAGGGCTCAGGCAGCCCTGGATTGGGGCAAAGGGGCACGTGCTCAGCGGAGCTTCACCGTCACCGGCTAGCTGGCACCAAAGTGGGTATGTCTGTACAGCCTGCAGTCTCCCGCCTTGTGCATTCACCCATCATCCCTCTACTGGAAGCCCCAGAACACAACCGCACAGGCCCAATGTAGGTTCTCATGCAGAAAGGACAAATTAGCCACAGGGTGGACAGAAAGTGGCGGGGACTGAGACAAAGGGCCGCAAAAAGGAAAGGTCATTGGCTAGAAAACCAATATTTCTGTTTTTTTCTTTAGAAACATTGAGAGAAATAAGAAGATATAGCTCAGTTGGTCAGAGCGTAGTGCTGATAACACCAAGGTCCAGGGTTCAAATCCTGTACTGGTCAGCCGCCAAAAAAAGAACAGGGAGAGGGGGAGGGGGAGGAAGAAAAGAGTGATTCTGTAAGGGATAGAATAGGAGTCAAAAGAAATTGGACATGGACGATTACAGCAGTGTTGAGATATTCGAGATTCTCGGTTGCTCTATCTCTAACTTTTATTCCACGACTCACCTTTAACTTTGCCGGTATGGTAGGGGATGGGGAGACTGCATCCTTCCACTGTCAGTCAACCATCTTTCCAGTCAGCTGTGCAACTACACTCCATACTCGTAAGAACATTATATGTACGAGCCCAAGATATCTTGCTTCCTCACTCATTCAACCAATATTCCCACAAAGCACTCTTCTGGGTTACCAACATTAATAAGATACAGTGTATGCCCTGTTTCTAGTCTAGTTGCAGACTGAATTCAACACACAGTAGGTCAGATGCTACAATGCAGACGTGCAGGTCGCCTGCAAGCACAGAAGAGTAGCATCTGCCACAGATGAGTGTGTCAGGGGAACCTCCACATGGAAGGTACACTAGAACAAAATCTTGAGGAATGAAGAGTTAGGCAAATGCACAAAGAGAAGGGCATACCAAGAAGAGGGGAAAGCATGAGCACAGAAGCTGGAGACAGGCTTCAAGGCATGGCAAGTGATTCCAAATGATGGGAAAATTGGGTGCCTATTAAGACATGGGAGTAAAGGGTAGATATGGGATAACTGGATGGTGAAAAGAGCTTGGAGTAGAAAGCACGGGGGTAATTGCAGGATCAGTGTCCCTTTAAATCCCAAAGAAGACGTGATCCACAAGTGAAAAGGTTGGCCTTAGGCAGGAGCAGAGACATTTCATACAGTGTAAAAGGAGAGGCAGAAAGTCAGGTACATACTCAGGTCAGTTGATAGATTTGATCATGGGAGGATGAGGAAGTTCTTTTCTACTTCTACTTTTTGGTGAAATATTAAGCAAAATCAACAGCTGAAAGAGGGAGTGAGGACATGTAGGAGGAGGTTTGAAAGGGAAGAAAAGCTGAGAAATCATGGGCTGGGAAAGTAAACTGACTTTCCTGGTCATGATTTGGGGCTGGCAAGGGCCCACTGAGGCTTGCAGTAACAGACTTAATCTGAGTTTTCCTCCAGATATGTTCATCTCCTCTTACAGATACAGAGCAGGCAGGAGTTGGGCTGGGAAAGTAAACTGACTTTCCTGGTCATGATTTGGGGCTGGCAAGGGCCCACTGAGGCTTGCAGTAACAGATTTAATCTGAGTTTTCCTCCAGATATGTTCATCTCCTCTTACAGATACAGAGCAGGCAGGAGTTGATTTTAACCAAGGATATAGTTTTGCCCGGCAGGTGTGATGGAGACATCGGGCAAGGGAGTGTTCACCACATTGAGCTATGGAATCTAGGCTTGGTAAAGGGAGAAGTGAAAGGGAGATTGACATCGAAAGTTAATAGGTCAGTGAATGGAAAGTACCAAGGGGCAAAGAGTTGTTGAAGTGGAGATAGTAGTGTAAGGGAAGTGGGGGTCAGACCGTGGGATGCTTGGAACTACGACTTTGTATGGAAGGCAGAGATTGGTACCACAGGGATAGAAACCCCTTCTTGAGGACCTCAGGTGAGAACATCCGATGTAGACTGGCAAAGTTCAGAATGTTCCAAAAAGTTTGATAGCACACCGTTTTGGTAAAAGAATGAGAAATAGGCACCTTCATACATTGCTAGTGAAAATGTAAAATGGTGCTAACTCTGCGGAGGGCAAACTCAATATCTTACACAATTAATAATACATTCCATTTGACCCAGAAGTTCCACTTCTAAGAATCTGTCCAAAGACTGACTTTCATAAACACACTCATACAATTTTGTACATATTCATTGTAGTATTATCTATAATGTAAAAAAAAAAAAGTGTGAGTACCCTAAATATCCAAAAATAGGGGATTAAATTAATTATAGTCCTTCTCTACAACTGATTACTGTAGAGTCATAAAATAAAATGAAGCAGCTCTTTATGTATTGAATTAGAACAATTACTAAAATATATTTTTAAGTGAAAAAAGCCAGTTTCAGAGTAGTGTGTATAGAATGCCTATGTTAGAGAATTAAAGTATATATATTCTTTAAAACTTCATATATGCAACCATACACACACACACACACACACACACACACACACACACACAACCACACACACACACACACACACACACACACACACACACTTCTTAGAGCATCTCTGGAAGAAGATGCTGGAGACTTGCTGCTGTCAAGGGGCATTGTTAAGTCTGGGGACAAGAGAAGAAAGGAGTTTGCTTTGTATTTTTGAAACTTTTGAACTTTGTGGCATTTGGGTTTTTCAAAACATAAGTTAAAATCACTATTTAATTTTTTTTTTCAAAATTTTGTATATCATGCCCAGGAGTTAGTATTTTATTTGGAAGGGAAGCTATTAAGATCTCTCTTTTCTTGAGAGATCTTGATGTTTTGAGCTGCAGGACTCATGAAAAATGGGCATCAAAAGACATATACAAGAATGTCCACAGCAACTTTATCTATAATAGCAAAGTAAATAAATAAATAAATAAACAATCAATAGTAAGATAAATAAGTAAATTTTGGTATATTAACAGCCCTTATATCTAGAAGGCATTTAATAAATATTTGCTGAAGGGAGGAATAAAGAAAGGAGGAATGAAGGAAGAAAAGAAAAAAGCATATTTTCTAGCTCTGCTCACTGAAAGGATAGAAGCAATGACCAACCCAGTGGCAATAAACTCTACTAGTGCACAGATTATAGTCTCTAAATACCACACTTCCTGTGTTCTCGCTATGCTCCAGCAACACCCTCTTCAGTTCTTTGAACATCTGTACTTTCCCTAATTCAGGGTCTTCACACATGCTGTTTCCTCTGACAGGAAAGATCTTCTTCCTCCCCACCCCCGTCAACACAGACTTGGATAACTCCTACCTCTCCTTCTCCATTGGGCTTAGCATTACTTCCTTTAAAAAGTATTCCTGATCCCCTTGGCTATTTATTTATTTATTTATTTTTGGTGGCTGGCCAGCACAGGGATCGAACACTGGACCTTGGTGTTAGCACCATGTTTTAACCAACTCCTTGGCTAGTTTAGTTCCCCCTAGTATATACTCTCAGAGTATTCTGTACATTTTCTCATTATATAATGACAGTTTTGATAATTGCTCCCTGAGTACAAGATATGTCATAGTTGTAGTTATTTAAATTTTTGCCTAGTTACAGTATTTTGATGGTGATTTCTCTCTTGTCCCCACCCCCAGCATAATTACACAATTGATCGAATTTATATAAATTAAATGTGATTGTGACATGACTCCATTGTGGATGACCCTCCCACTAGACTGTAAGATGCAAGAGTGTGGATGTTATATCTGTCTTCTTTGTTGCTCTATCCCCATTGTCTGGCATCCAGTAGGTGATCAGTAAGAAATCTTGAGTGCATG